TTTCTGACAGTTGTGATTTTTAAGAAATACACCAGCAAAACCTTTTCTGAATAATTTTTATGCATTTTTTTTTCGCACTCATTTTAAAATTTGTTAAAAGCTGCTGCATAAAGTGTTGACGATTTAGTAGGCATTAAATTATCCATTACATATCTGACGGCGTGCCGTTCGCTATTTCAGGGGGCGTACCCATCATGAAATTTTCATCTGGCATACTAATAATGCTCCAAAAAGTAAGTTTTAGTAAAAAAATCAAAGACCATAAAGAAAATACTAACAAACCCAAGTAGCATTTATAGTGGATGTGTTGACCACTTATACTTGGAACTGTAAAGTATATTGCCAAAATCTCTGCCACGTGGTAGAAACGGTTCTATTACGTATTAGGTATTAAGTGACTAAAATGGAGAACACTTTTTTAGTGTCAGTTACGTTTCAACAACGTTCTTGAATTGTATACAGACGCGTTAATACCACGTTGTGATTACGTTACTATAACGTGAAGATATAGTGGCCAAAACTTAATCGTAACTTTACTAATCTTTACTTTCTATCCCCGTCTCTTTCCATTATTATCTTATTATCTTTGCTTTCTTTGACTGGATATTAAACTAACACTGAATTATAATATTGTAAGTGTACAACTTGCAAATAATAACTAGAATTAAAATAATCCAAAGACATAAAATTAACACAAATTAAATTTTACTGTTAAACATGGGTTTCATCGCTCGAAATATAAGCATGCCCTGTCTAAATATGTGGTAATAAAAAAGAATAGAAAAATCTATAAATTTAGCGGATATGAAAATTATTTATCTAGAAGCCTAAAATATTTTTTTTATTATTTCTGGTCACCTGAAACCAATAAATATGTATTAACGTGTTAAATTTGGTGCGGTAATAACCAGAATTATTTGTTTTAAACTACACATTTATTTCCCTACAATGGCGATTATTTGTAAACATGTCTGCTTTTGAAGAAGGGAACTTTAAAGTGGTAATTTTATAGGAAACGTGGAAATCACTTGTAGCATGTAGCAAGAACGTGGCAATCATCACCCCAATTATATAATCAAGTTTTGCCACATTCAAGGTTTGCGAAAAGTTCCGAAAACGTTGCCAAATATTATATACCCACTTTACTACCACTACCACTTCAAAGTAATACTTAAGTGATTTGATTTGGTTACTATTCATAATCCACTTTAAAGTTTAGACAACTTTAAGGTGGTGTCAAAATTGGTCATAACATTTCACATACCAGACTAATGCACCAAAAAGTATATTCTTCTGGTGCAAATCACATGATTACAACTATGCTAATATAATATGGAGATATTTTAACTGTATCGTGGTAGATTTAGTTATTTAAAGTTATGCAAACAAAATGTCACCTCCAAATTAATGTTCACACCTACTTACTTTGTATCTGTGGTCCAGATCATTTAAAAATGTTTTTTTTGTTGCGAAAAATTGAATATTTTATGTAACGTCGCGACGTTTAATAAAAATAGTATAATTTAGTGTGACTTTTTGTGACTCGTCTGTATTTGCCTTACAGACTCGCCACAAAAAGTGAAATTTTAGCCCTTTATAAAATAACGCATGTACTAATATTTCAATATTTATTTCTTATATTTTTTCTTTAAACTAACAAATTATTATACGCTAAAGAAGTATTGGGTTTTCGCAACGCGCGCGCCATTTTGTGGACTTCGATAGTATTGTGTGAATTTAACAATTGTCAACAATACATTTAAAGCATACGAACTATACATAATTTTTAAATAAATAGGTAGATTTTTCACAAAAGAGAGAAGGGCAGAAGTCTTACTCGGCAAATTTTGTTCAATTGCACAGCTAAATCTCGCACGTTATTTGTGTTTTACGTTGCAAGGAAAAAACTAAAAAACTGGTTTAGTACTCCATTTCGATTTATTATTCTTTATCATTGATTAAGAAACTTAACGCTTAAATGCTTGTATAGTTATAACTATACATATACGTTAGTGTGTGTATTTTATCTAAGGAATTTAAAAACTAAATCGTTGCATTTTCATGTTTTGCCAAAGGATCCAATTCGGTAAGTACATTTGTTGGTGCAGAATTAACTAATGATAACTTAACCTAACATAATTTATATTTGTTTGGAAATTTTTAAGAAATTAGTTAAAAATAATTGTTGCACAAACAACCTTAAAATCAACCATTTTTATATTTGAGTTATTGTTAATTAGTTGTGCATCATAGCCGTTGTTAACTGCTATTTGTTTAATTAGGTTTAATTTGTAATTATAATTTTTTTCTGACTTTCCACATCCTTAGTTTTTCCAAAATTGTGTAAATTTTATTAATACCTTCGAAGCTTTAAGTATAATGTTTATACAACACTTATTTTCTTAAATTACCTGCCATTTGTTAATATAAATACCGCAACTTGATAAAAATAGGTACTAATTCTGAAGAAGCTACTGTGTAGCGAACAGTGGCGGCGCCAGGGGTGGACGTAGCGTTTGTCGAAAATGAACTAAAATTACTACCAAAAACCATTAACAGGTATGAAATTAATCATAATTTTAAAATAAGGACCTTATCAGATCTTGCAGTACTTCTGCAGGAATTCAATTTAGTATTTCACGAAATAAATAAATTGTGTAACATTGCCATAACCGTGCCCTCTTCAAGCGCCAGTTGTGAGAGATCGTTTAGTGGCTTAAAAAGAATAAAAAACTATTTAAGGACTACAATGTTACAAGAGAGGCTCACAGGTTTAGGAATATTGTACGTTGAAAAAAGTATTGTAAAAGCAATGGACTTAGATTCTTTTGCAATTAAACATAATAATAGAAAAATAGCGCTTTCCTAATCGACCTAAACGTTAGACTGTGTCTGTAATCATGCGTTTCCGTGTAAAATATGTTTTGAAATAATTTTTGTGTTTTTTTTTCGTTTTAGTTTTATTTCACATTTATTCACAAATCCGTAAAATATCTATAATTAGTGGGTACATTATACAATTTATACCTATTATCTGAAATATTACCTAGATACCTAAAACATATTTTTGCTGCCCACAATTCAAATTTTTTGCCGGGTGTCGCCCAACAGGAAAGAAAAAGCTGGCGCCGCCACTGGTAGCGAAACAATTAATTTATGATGTTTTTAATGATTAACAATTGTTAATCATTAAAAACATAAATAAAATAGTGAAACTTTAAAACAGTGTTGTTTTATTCATATTTTAATATTATGGAGTTTAATCAAGTAAAGGTCGAAACAATCAACAATTTGTAGTTTTGTTATGAAGAATCTTCCCAGAAATAAACATGGTAAAACCATTTACGTAAACAGTAGCATTGCAATGAATTGTAAGAAATTTGGATTATTAAAATTGTGTTTAATTTTATATTCATAATAATAATAATAATAATAACCTCCTATTTCTACACTTTATTGTTCATTGTTTTATATTAATCAGAATAGGTACAATAATACAATTCTAAAAAGTGATTTAATAAAAATATTATTTGTAATAAAAAAATAAAAATAAAAATAAACAATTGTTTTTAGGAAAAAATGTTTATCAAAAAATTGTTTTAAACAGGGTCGGCCTTATAATATGATATGGGCGAAATAGTATTTTTTTAGTTTGGTTGAGAAATTAATATAATAGTTATTTATATTACCTACAAGTGTTTGAACAGCGACTTTTTCATACGTGTGTTTAAATTGCTCACGAGGCCATTAGGCCGAGTGTGCATTAACACTAGCTTGAAGAAAGGTTTTCTCACAAGTAAAATACAATATTTTTTAAGACCCTTTATTTTTTATTATTTTCAAATACAAAACAAAATAACCTTAACACGTGTTTTACAGCAAAATTTTTTTTCATCTTATTCTTTTAATTTATCTCTGCCGCTTCTTTTATATTTGTTGGGGTTCATTGTAATTCTTCTTCACTCATGGTTAAACAAGCCAATTGCATAACAATTTACAAAAATATACAAATTTTAATGAAATCACGCAAATACAAAGAAATTAAGCTGTTGTACGTCGGAATGTCAAACGATGCTGTCAATTTTTTTGCACACACATCTGTTACTTTTCACACAGACCTGTCACTTTTCACACAGACCTGTCACTTTTCACACATACCTGTCACTTTTTACACAGACCTGTCACTTTTCACACAGACCTGTCACTTTTTACAGAGAAATGTTACTTTACATTCGAGTTTTGCCTTGCAAGCTAAGCATTACGAAATGTGACTTTTACGTAGTAGCCGCAGAAAAAATACTTATATCTAATATGTAAATAAATCGATGCCTCCAAGTTTTCTTAAATAACCTTATCCATACATAAAGAAGTACATAATATGTCATATATGCATAATTACGTATGCTACACATATTTCTAATATTGATACGCTTTTGCTAAGGTCACTTTAATTTGTTATACAATGTTTAACAATCCGATAATTAAAAAAAACATGATCGTGAATTATTGCAAAATAAATATAAAACAATAATAATAAAAAACAGTATTATTACCAAAAATATTTGTTTATCCAAATAAGATTAACAAGTTATAATAAATATGCGGGTTATTATTTCGATATTTGTTAAAAACAGTGTTTATTAGGTTAGTACTTTAACAAATGAGTAATGAAATATTGTTTCGTTATTTATTTAATTTTTTTAATTTAAAAATTATGTTTATTTATCTTATAAATCTTGGTTTTACTTATATTAATTTATTTTTAAAAATATAACTCAAAATTGTCCCAAACTTGGAAAATGCTTATCCATTCATAATTTAAAGAGGTTAAATATTTATTCTGAATTGGGCGCATATTTCCTTAAGCCGCCTCTGGTATACAATAATATAATTGTTATAATTAATTTCTTTGAAATCCATAACATTTAATTCATTGCATTTACGTATAAAATAAATATTTACATTTTTATCTGTTGTACCAACATTTGTGCATTTAATTTTTATTTATTAATCTGTATTGCTATATAGTAGTCGCTATATAGACAGATATGAAATGTTTACAAGTGTGTGCTTTTATTGCTCTTTTTGTTATTGCGTCTACTCAATGGGATGCACATTTTGCCAATGGTAGAACTTCAATTGTTCATTTATTTGAATGGAAATGGAGTGACATTGCTGCTGAGTGTGAAAGGTTTTTAGGTCCAAAAGGATTTGGAGGTGTCCAGGTAGATATAAACTTTATATTATTATCACAATTTAATAATTTAAACTAACATTTTAGATTTCTCCACCAAATGAAAACCTTGTTATATCAAATTATAATCGAGTATGGTGGGAAAGGTATCAACCAGTAAGTTATAAACTTATTACGAGATCAGGGAACGAGAATGAATTTAAAAATATGGTTGACAGATGCAATGCCGTTAACGTAAGGTACAATGTAAACCTATTTTAACCAAATATTTGTAGGTATTTATATAAAACCTATTTTAGAATATATGTGGACACCGTTATTAACCATATGTCTGCAGGTAGCGGTACAGGGACTGGCGGTAGTAGTGGCGACGTTGAAAATAAAAATTTTCCTGGTGTACCCTACTCCATTAATGACTTTCATTCCACTTGTAAGATAGATAACTATCAAGACGCGACAAATGTAAGAAACTGTGAACTTGCAGGCCTTAAAGATCTTGACCAGGGTAATAACCATGTTAGAAATAAAATAAGGGAATACATGAATCACTTAATTGATTTGGGTGTGGCTGGATTTAGAATTGATGCTGCTAAGCATATGTCTCCTAATGATTTAAAAATTATATACGCTGGATTAAAAGATACTAAGTTTGGAGGTAAGCCTTTTATTTATCAAGAGGTAATAGACTTTGGAGGTGAGCCAATAAAGAAAACTGATTACACAGGCATAGGCAACGTTTTGGAATTTCTTTATGGTAAGAAACTAAGTAATATGTTTAGAGGAAACGACAAACTAACTTATCTAGTAAACTGGGGACCTGCTTGGGGTCTTCTAGATGGTTTAAAAGCCACTTGTTTTATAGACAATCACGATAACCAAAGATACGACTCTAACTCCATTTTGACTTATAAAAAACCCAAGCAATACAAAATGGCAATAGCATTTATGTTAGCACACCCATACGGAACCGCAAGAATAATGTCCAGTTACCTTTTTAATGACAAGGACCAACCTGCACCACAAGATGCACAAAAGAGACTTATAAGTCCTGGATTTAAACCAGACGGAACATGTACAAATGGTTATGTCTGCGAACATAGATGGCGTGAAATCTACAATATGATACAATTTAGAAACATTGTTCTTGGTACACCCATTACTAACTGGTGGTCAAATAACGTTAATCAGATAGCCTTTGGACGTGGTAATAAAGGATTTATAGCTTTTACCCAAGAAGGTGATATTAAAGAAAGTTTACCAACGTCCTTACCAGATGGTACATATTGTGACGTAATAAGTGGTGATTTAACAAATGGTAGTTGTACAGGAAAAAGTGTTGTAGTTAGTGGAGGAAAAGCTAATATACAACTAGGACAAAATGAGTTTGATGGTATGGTGGCAATTCACGTTCAAGCAAAGAAAAATTAGATACAATTTGTGGTAAATAACCAATATATATACATTATATATTATTAGTAAATACTATACATTTAAATTCCAGAAGATCATATTTTAAACACGCTACAATATTTGTTAAATAAAAATCCTAAATAAAAATATCAGGCCTATGGTTTTGTTTTATTAACATACTAAAAGTTTTACAATTCCTGTTGAGTAATTGCAGATCAAGTTTGTTCCGTAATTATCGATCAAGTGGTGTTTTTCGTTGCCATGGAAAATAAAATAAAGTTTGAAGTTTATTGAAATATTCTATTTAATTTAATTTAATTATTTTTCTTAGCTACGAAAAACACAGTAACAAATAACGCTAACAAATAGATAACATGTTTTAAATTTTGCTTTTACAACTATAATAAGATTAAAATTTGGTTTTAAAATTATTATTAGGGCTCGCAAGTCAAATGATTGTTTAGATGATTTTATAAATAAATTTAAAGCCTATCTTGGAAAAATTATTAATAGACGGAAAAACATAAAATGTACACTCCATTACTCAACATTTTTATTTATCTACAGTTCGTTTCATTTTGATTGGCGACAATTCGGTATTTATTTTAAAATATTCCGATTAAAAAAAAATGTGTTTAGTTCTGTAGTATTCGAAAAAAACTATCTTTTGAAGAAAAAAAAAGTCATATCCATGGCTTTCTATGATTAATAGAAGAACTCCAAAAACTTTAATTTTTAAGTTATTAGGCATTTTCTAAATTTAAAAACGTATAGCGTTTTTAAATTTGGCATACCTAAAAACCCCTTAACGAATTTTTTTTAATAATATTTTATACAGGATAGTCCAAAAATAAGGTCTAATTTAGAAAAAGAAATATGTTGGCTCTAATTAGATTAATATTACTATTTAAATACCATTATTTTTTAAATAATTTTTGACCCTAATTTGTGAACAGTCTGTATAAGTTAGAGTAACAAAATTAAGCGAATGTGTGGTTCGTGTAATACCTAAAGAAGTGTCAGAATGTTTTTGTAAAATATTTGCTATAATTTACACAGGTTGCTTGAAAAATTATTTTTTTTACAAATTTGGACCTCCACGTGTGAGGAATCTCCTCTTTCTCCCACTAGTTGCACAAAATAATATTTATTTTTCTATTTCCACTGTACGCTGTATAATGTACAGGATTATGTGGTTGCAGAATCGACCTAATCTGTGTTAAAACCGAGTATAACCGAAATTATTAAAACCATTGTCTTCTTTAATCTGTATGTGTATGTTTCATTTGTCGATTAGGCAACGTCAAGGTTCACAGATTTTTGAAATGTGATTTTCAAAGAGATTTTGTTGCAAGATTTTATTGCAGTAAGATGAACTAGTAAAAGACTTTCAATGTCAAATGGAACACGATCATATCATTAACAATATCTAACTTATGTCTACATTTTTGTGTTTAATTAAAATAAAATTCTTTTGGGTTTTCTAAAATTTATTCTACAATTTATTATTATAACAATTAATTATAATTATTGCTTATTAATACACAATATGGTTCTTGATATTCAGCTTTTGCTTCTACGTAAGTGGCAAGAACTACATAAATCTCATTACGTAGAATTAATATATTGGCAAATCCATTATTATCTAGCAAAACTGTCTTTCCTGTCAATTTTTCATTAGCCAAATCTCCTTAAAATTTAGGGTTAAAATATTATAACAATATTAACCGACTAGTAAGCAAGTTTGCAACCGTTGTTTTAAATCTGCTTAATTTGTAAAAGCTACAAATCTCTTATTGCCTCTGCAGAAACCTATTTAATGGTCACCGTTTGACCACCAATTATTAATTTTTGTACTATGGGTTTTGTTTTTCAAAATAACCATATTTTCTAACTGACGCCTTCTATGTTCACCAAGGACGTCGCTATAAAAAAGTTTAAGGGGATTGGTAAATAAAGAACTGGTGCAACAAAATACAGATTTAGAATACAAGGCAATCACTAGTTGCATTGCCGTACGTAATTTACTTTAGGTCTAATATTTACTGATATCTAATATTGTAAATAAGTTAAAAAGGCAACAAGAATTAAAATTTACAGGGTCAAATTTAGTCTACGAGACCAAATTTAGTCTTCTGGCTTTCTTTGGTGCAAATATATTAATAATCTGAGATGGTACTTGGCCCGTAGAGTTTCAAAAGTGCGTTCTTAAATTTAATTTTCTAAAATTTCGGGCAAAGATTAAACCCACCATACCCCCGAGCTACGGCCTTGATGTTTACAGACTTAAATCTACGACTTTTGTATCGATTGTAATGGACTGAAACTATAAATATAAAGCAAACAATGATCAAAATAACACTGTCAACAACATATATTTTAAAAAACTAATCGATAAAATATTTAAAAATTATTTTTGTCCGATTTTGTCCAGGAATGTAAATCTGTATCCCAGAGCCAAACTGTATCCACTTTTTTAAAATAACGTTATGTATATATGTTTGCCTACATTTTTTCGCTCTCCCCAATGATAAACAAGAAAACCACATTCGGGGACACTTCCAGATTTTAGAGGTTACTCAAAAACACATCTACTTAAGTCTGTCATTGCAGACGTCTGCTACAACAGACACGTCCTTGTATATCCCATTCGCCTTGTTTTGCAGAAGTTAATAAACTAAATGCTGGTTTCGATATTAAGCAGGAAAATGTAAAAAACATCAACTTTATTCAAATAAATAATAAAAAATACAACAAAATAAACTTTTACATTCTTTTATAACAGGAAAATATTTTTTTGTAAAATAAAAAAGTCAACATTAGGAACAAAACTTTGTGAAACAGTCACCCACACAAAGTGGCGGTTTATTCTCACACCCTGAGCAGCGCCAGGACGTGTGTCCTTGCAATAACGACATCTTAAAAAGTAATTCTTCCTTGTATAGTTTTCAGGCAAAGGATTTTTTTCAAAAAACAACTTATTATAACATCTAACAGGTAAAAAAAGATAAATAAAATAAAATCGACATTTACAGGAACACTACATTTATAACAATAAAATATAAGTGTATACTTATAAGAATAATAAAATGAATAAAATACAATTTATCACACAGAAAAAAATCTAACATAGTACCAAAAACAGCGCTGTCATTGAATGCATTAAAATTGAAGCAATCTAAATTGTTATTTGCTCAATTAATTAATATTAAACCAAAATAGGGAAATATTTTGCCTAAATGTCAAAGAATTTATTGCGTTAAATTTATACATAGTATACATACAATAGTAACGTTATAAAATAAATCAAATTAGTATTTAATGCAATAACATTCTAACATTCTAACAAATAAATATGAATATCAATAGATTTAGGAGCGATAACTTTTGTTATTAATTTAAAAACAGTAAATGATTATAAACCAAGTGCCAACCAACTACCTATTGGTATTATAGGAACTGTTATTCAGGAATACGGATTACAAGATCCCATTGGTTTAATGGCTCACCCATTCATGCTATGCTAGCGTTTTTTCTGTGCATATATAAAGCGGGTATTGGTGTTTTTATTTTAAAAATGTGTTTATCAATTTAAATCAAATAAGCTTGTATACGAAATACACACTGGATATTAGACAGGGTGTTTGCAACTGATAACACACATATATGTGGGGATAGAATATATATATATATATTCTTTACTTTAACTTTATGTATATACATGTCATGTCATTATATATGTCACAGCAGTTGCGGAAAAGTTATAAAACAATAATCCTTTTTGAGATATAGTCAATTTTCCATAAAATATGGAATTGACTATATCTTAAAAACTGCTCTACTTTTATAACTTTGGACGGTATTTTCGAATTTAGCGTAATTTTCCTAATAAATGTAAAAGTAAATGTAAACGTAATATTTTACGTGAATGTATATAATGTAGGCCGATTGTAAAATATACTAACTATATAAGGAACAAATGTATTTTAAATAGCAAATGCGTACATTTACTAAAAGCATCAAGAAACACCCTATTTTGAAATTTCGTAAAATTATACATTTTTACGCTTACTTCGTTCGGGTCATTATGAGCCAATAACCAAAATAAATACCTATTTTTTTTTTTATTCTAAAAATAATATAATTATACTATTTCGTGAAATTTTAGATTGTAGTTGTTTATATTTAATTAAACATATAAATTTACGTTCGAGTCATGAGTAATAACCAAAATAGACAACTATGTGATTAAACCGTTTAAATATATTTTTTTCTATTTTATATTATAATAATTATGTATAGTAATTAAATTTTAAAAAATGAGCAAATAAACAATTATAACTATATTTGGCTTTTATTTGCAAACAAAAATTATATCGGGTCATAGTGACCAGAACGATACAACCACATATTAAATCAAAACAGCAGGGTAAAATGAATATTCATTTATATATGCCATACAGTAATAAAACATGGCGCAACCAAGTAATATATAAATACAAATAAAACAATTAGTAAGTTTGCATTATTGAGAATACAAAAAATAAAAATCTCAGACGAGTAATTTTAAAGAATTATACCTAGTCGAAAGCCAAAATATTCCACATTTTAAAATGGGTGCTTTGAACACATTGATTACAAAGGAGTTAAGGATAATAATATAAAAATACAATTTTTTAAGTCTAATACCTTAAAAATAAATTACTATATATTATTAAAAGGGTCAAGGTTAATTACAATTTACAAAATAGCATGGTTTATTTGTAGCTGTCTTAATATTCAGCATAAGATTAATGAATTTGCTACATAAAAATTGCTTTAGGTAAATACACTTACCTGTAGGTATATATAAATAAGTATACTTAAACTTATATCTATCCTAATCCCTCGCATTCTAAAGGTACTTCTTTTCACTTCCATTTATGCATTTACAATTATTGTTAATTTTTATGAACCAAAGTTAATATTATCTAAAGCGTTTATAACCAATAAAAGGTTACGTATAATTATAAATTTTTTACATGCAACTAAGACCAATAATTACTGTATTAAGATTGTACATTTATATGGGATCATGCAAGTTAAGACGCTAGATAATTTTTTGATAACACCTATGTTCAGGCTTAATAAGAATTTTTAAAAACATTGCTTTTAA